ATCTATCTATGTATCTATCCATCTATCTATCCAATCTATCTATCTATCTATCTATCTATCTATCTATCTATCTATCTATGTACCAACCTACCTATCATCTATCTATCCTCATCTCCTTTTGGACTTCTTATTCTGTCCCATTTCTCTATTTGTCTGTTCCTGCACCAATACCATGCTGTTGTAACTACTATAGCTTTTCATATATCTTGATATCTGATCATAAGTCTTTCGTCCTTGTTTTGGTTCTTCATGATTGCCTTGGTTATTTTTAACCCCTCCCAAATGGGGGGTTGGAGGATATACATTTCAGAATCAGCTTGTCAATTTCAACAAAAGAAAGATTTGTTGAATTTTGTTGAGATTGTGTTGAATTTATAGATCAATTTGGAGGTAACTGTCATCTTTACAATTTTGAGACTTTTAATCCAAGAACAAGGTATATCCCTCTATTCATTTACAACTTCTTCAGTTTCTCAATACTGTTTTGTAATTTTCAGTGTAGGGATCTTTCACATCTTTCTGGGTATTTGAGTTTTTTGGCTTTTTTAAAAGTTCTAACACACATGGTATCTTAAAATTTTTCTTTTTAAAATTAAAAATTTTATTTTTATCTCTGTTCCTTCGCTGCTGGTACATAGAACACAATTTTTAAAACTTTCTTTTTGAAATAATTATAGATTTACAGGAAGTTGCAAAGAAAGATAGAGGAAGGCCCTGTGCACCCTTCACCTGTTCTTCCCTGGTGACACCATCCTGCACGACTATAGTACAGCATCAATACCAGGACATTGACTTTGATGCAATCCACAAAACTTACTCAGAATCCACCAGTACACATGCACTCAACTGTGTGCGTGTGTATCTGTGTGCACGTGCACGTGCAGCTCTGTGCAATATTATCTCCTGTGTAGCTTCATGGACTACCACCATAATCAAGATACGGAACATGTCCATCACAAGACACAAACTCCCTTTCCTGGCTTCTGGTGACCACTAATTTGTTCTCTATCTCTATAATTTTGTTATTTCTAGGATGTTATATAAAAGGAAACAGACTGTACGTACTCTTTTGAGATTAGCTTTTTTCGCTCAACATAATTCTCTCGAGGTCCATCCAGGTGGTCGTGTGTAACAACAGTCCACTAGTTTTTATTGCCGAGTAGTGTTCCACGGTAGAGATGTACAACAGTTTGTTTAACTGTTCACCTGTGGAAGGACAAGTGGGTGGTTCCCAGTTTTTGGCTGTTATGAACATTCACGTGCAAGTTTCTCTGTGAACCTAAGTTTTCATTTCTCTGGGGTTAATGCCCAGTAGTACAATTGCTGGGTTGTATTACAGCACATTTTCAGTTTTAAAGGAAGTGGCCAACCTCTTTACCAGAGTGGCTGTACCATTTCACATGTTCACTAGCAGTGCATGAATTGTCTCTCCACATCTTCTCCAGGATTTGGTGTTGTCACTATTTTTTATTTTAGCTTTTCTGATAAGTGTGTAGTGATATCTCATTGTAGATTTAATTTACATTTCTCTAATGGCTAATGATGTTGAACATCTTTTCATGCACTTATTGGCCATCCGTGTATCCTCTTCAGTGAAGTGTCTGTTCACGTCTTCTGCCCATTTTCTAATTGGATTATTTGTTTCTTAATGTTGAGTTCTGAGAGTTCTTTATGTGTTCTAGATACAAGTCCTTCATCAGATATGTGGCTTGCAAGTATTTTCTCCCCCTCTGTAGCTTGTCTTTTCATCCTTTTAGGGTCTCTCACAGAGCAAAACTTTTTTATTTTGATGAGGTCCAATTTATCAATTTTCCCTTTTATGTATTATGCTCCTGACATCAAGTCCAAGAATTCTTCCCCTAGTCCTACATCCTGAAAGTTTTATTCTATGATTTTTTTTCTAAAAGCTTTATAATTTTACATTTACACCTAAGTCCATGACCCCTTTTGAGTTAATTATTGTATAAGGTGTGAAGGCCATGTGGAGGTTCATTTTTTTACCCATGGATGTCCAATTCCTGCAACACCATTTGTGGAAAGACTATCCTTCCTTCATTGAATTACATTTGTACCTTTGTAAAATATCAGTTGAGAATATTTGTGTTGGTTTTTTTCTGGATCCACAGTTCTGTTCCATTGACCTATGTGTTTGTCCCTCTGCCAATGCCACAAGGTCTTGATGAGTGTAGTTATATAGCAAATCCTTAACATTGATTGGATGAATGATTGATTCCTCCCACTTTATTCTTCATTTTCAAAATGACTGTGGCTATTCTAGAGTGTGTACTTTTCCATATAAATTTTATGATAAGCTTGTCATACAGAAAATGACAGAAAATCATTGCTGAGATTTTGATAAGAATTGTGTTAAACCTGTAGATCATTTTGAGGAGAATTCCCATCATTGCCCTGTTGAGTCCTTCAGTCCATGAACATAGTAATTCTCACCAATTATCAAAGTTTTCTTTGACTTCTCTCATCAGTGTTTTGCAGTTTTCAGCACATAGATCCTGTATGTTTTGCTAGATTTATACCTATTACATTTCTTTGAGCAATTGTAAATGGCATTGCATTTTTAACATGTCAGTTCCCACTTGTTTGTTGCTAGTATGTAGAAAGGCAATTGATTTTTGAGTGTTGACCTTGTAACCTGCAACCTTGCTGAACTCACTTCTTAGTTCTAGCTCTTTTTGGTAGATTGCTTTGGGTTTTCAACATAAGCAATCACATTATCTACAAATAAAGGCAGTCTAATTTCTTCCTCTCCAATCTGTATGCCTTTTATATCCTTCGTTCCTGCCTTATTGCACTGTTTAGAACTTCCAGTGCTCTGCTGAACGAGAGTGGGGAAAGTAGACATCCCTGCCTTGTTTCCTTTCTTAGATGGATTAGAAGGAAAGCACCAGTCCTTCCCCATTATGATGTTAGCTGTAGGTTTGTGTAGATGTTCTTTATGAAGTTGGAGCAGTTCCTCCTTTATTCCTTTCTTGCTGAGAGCTTTTTTTTTTCTTTTTTCATGAATGAATGTCGGATTTTGTCAAACGCTTTTTCTACAGCAAGTAATCTGATCACTGATTTTTCTTCTTTACCTGTTAAGGTGGATTGCATTGATTGATTTTTGAATATTGAATCAGCCTTGCATCCTTTAAATAAATTCCATTTGGTTGTGGTGTATTATTCATTTTATACATTGCTGGATTCAATCTGCTAACATTTTGTTGAGGATTTTTGTGTCCAAGCTCATTAGAAATATTGGTCTGTAGTTTTTTTTTTTTTTTTTTTTTTTTTGGTACTATCTTTGTCTGGTTTGGGTACAATAAAATGGGCTGAGGAATGTTGCCTCCTCTTCTATTTTCTGGAGATTGTATAAAGTTACCATGATTCCATACGGCAGGGATGTTTGAGAAAACTTAGTGCAGTGATGTCTGATATTTAATTTAATGTTATTTTGTTTTTCACTGTGATTTCTCTCATGTTTTCACTATGCCATCAGTAAAAGCTGTCAAACACAAGAACTTTGTCTTAGGAAATAAGATAAAGGAAGTGTCTTCACCTGGGGCAAAGCTGGGAAAGACAACTGGAGAGCGGGAGGCTAGATGTGAATAGGATGGATAATGAAGCAAGATGAGAAAATATGACCTGGCACTGACTCCACCCTCACCGTCACCACGCAGAATTCTCAGACACCCTGGAAGGGTCACTGGGCTTCCCAGAGACATGGGAATGTGCAGGGAGGCCATGGATAATAAGTGGTGACTCCACCGGGCTGGAGGACTAGGGACCTGGTCACATCTGCTTATCGGAGGTGTGCTCATCCAACCGTCCTTGTGGCACACCCGGCGCGTCAACTTTGCTCGGGGTTGTGGATACAGCGTGTATAATGTAGAGGTGTCCCCGGCTCTCAGGAAATGTAGGGTCTAGAACAGTATTTCCCTCGATATGAACCATTTACATCACAATTAGATGGAAGCTTGTTAAACAGATTTCGGGGCCCATCCCAGATCTTCTAAATCAGACCCTCCGGCATTGGGGACTAGGAATCTGTATTTTAAACAAGCAGGAATTCTCACATTAGAGAAACATCCATCAAAAACACCTTCGTTTTTACAAGCGCATTCCCAATCCGGTTTGCAATTCCATGTTCATTCTGAAAAGTTGAAAACCAAATGAAAGAAAATGTAAGGTGTTAACAATAAGCCTGAGGAATGTGAAGATAATGAAACCTTTTCAAAGGGCAGGCAGAGTAGGAAAGAAATCTCACATTAAAGTCAATTCGTACTAACCCGAGAGGAACTGAGGCCCTAGATCCTTAAAGGGATAGCAGTTTTAAGAATGGAATGCCTACAGCATTTATTTTTTTAATGTTACTCAATGGGTTAACACCACCAGGCCTGCCAGGAGGGATAGGACCTGTTAGACTTGGAGCCCGCCGTGACCCGGGCAGGGAGATGGACCATGGCGAGGTTGAAGATACGCGGGCCTCGGCCAGGCCGGCCCTGCCCAGCGCTGGACAAGCACCCTCGGGCGGACAGATCCGTCCCCAGTCCCTCTGCCTGTGCGGCTTGGACACCTGCGCTCGTTCGTGTCCATTCTCACATCATCCCTCCTTGCACGTCCCTCCCCACTGTCCTGCCCCGGTCCCAGGCCACCTTCCCAGTCCGGGGGAGTTTCCGAGCTACAGAGAGATTTTCAAGGCTGTAATGTCCAAGTCTGCACCTGCCGCCTGGGGATGTGGGGAAGGCGGGGCTTCCTGGACTTGGGAGGAGGCGCAGGAGCTACAAGGTCTAGGGCGGCCTCAGCTCCCTGCACTGCACGAACTCAGAACCCTGTCGGCGGGCCTCCGGTGGCCGCGCACGGCAAGGGCCGGACGCGGCGGAAGCGAGAGGAGACCCGGCGGGGGTCAGCCGGCTGCGGGGAACCCCCGACAGCTCAGGGAGCCCCGACCACCGCCCGGAAGTTCCCGACAGGCGGCGCGCGGGCAGCCCCGCCGTGACGTCACGGCAGCGCGCCGGCCGCGGGCGAGGACCCCGTCGCGACCGCGTCCCCTCGGGTCCTTGAGCCGGTGCCGACTGCGAGCCATGGCCTTGAGACTGTTGAGACTGGTCCCGGCGTCCGCGTCCGCGCGGGGCCTTGCGGCGGTCGCCCAGCGCATGGTGAGACGGCGGCGGCGGCGGGCGGGAGCCCGGGGGGTGGGCGGTGAGGGGGACGCCTGGCCTGTCCTTCTGGCGCCGGCCTTGCTCATCTCCCCGGGCATCAGGGCGGCGGCTCCCAGGGTCACTCTCGGGGAGACCCCACTGCCCCCGGGTGCGATTTGGTCCTGAGTCGTGGGCAGAGCGCCGAGGGGCCACGAGCTTCTCAGGCCGTTTTATCTCAGCTCCAAGCAGAACGCTGGGGCAGGAGGGGAATCGGCCGCCTGGCTGCCGTAGTGTGGGGGGCCGGTTTGCAGATGCCGTACCCCAGTGCAGCTGCTGCAGTAGTCGTACGAGCTGGTGTGGGGGAGCCCAGAGGAGCCCGGGGCGCGCGCGCTCATTCATTCGTTCATTCATTCATTCATGTAGCAACTCTGTCAAGCGGCAGTTAGGGGTCAGGCTTTGCTAGGCGCCGCGGTGATGTGACTGAGTAAACACGAGTAGGCGTTTAGTTAAGATCTGGAAGGATTAGGAGAACTTCCTGTGGTAGAAAACAGTGGGATGACATTGTACGCGGAGGGAACAAGAGAGGCAAAAGAACTGTCTGGAAACCTTAGGAAAACTTTGTTTTATGACCCTGGCTGATCAGAGCTTTTTTGTCTCCTGATGGCGGGAGCTACACTGGTGTCAGGTAAAGGGACTTGACCTCCGTGTTAAGGATTTTGGTCAGCAAAGGGTTTTGAACAGAACAGTGCAATAGTCTTTTCAGGAAGTCATATAAATGTTTTTAGGAGATAACTCAGGCTCAAAAGAGAAGAAAGAAAAGTGGTTGTTTTTTAAATACCCAGTATATTGAGACCTGTTTTAGTGGAAGTGAGGGCCCCGGAATAGAGGAGGTGATATTTTCCTGCAATGTGTGCACTAGACAGTGTGTTCACCTGTGACAGTGTGTTCAGTTCTGGGCGCTACCCTTTAAAGGGGATATAGAAGATGAACTTCAGTAGGTCCAGAGAAAAATGAGTAAGATGAAAAGGATATACATCTTGTTACTTAGGGAATAATTAAAGGAATTGGAAATGTGTCATGAAAGATCTCTGTGATTCCAGAGAGCAGAATAATGGGACTGAGGATGGGAAATTATAGAGAAGACTACCATAATTCTGTGAAAAGGCTCTTTCTATAGATTTTGAAGTAAGGAAATAGTTGATTGCTTGACTCGAATATTATCATGCACCTGTTTTTGCAACATCGTGGTATATTCAAGTTGTGGACACAGATGGGGAAACGGTTTGCACATGGCTCAGAGGTAGCCTAGAGAAGAGAGTAATTAATTTCTGGGGTCAAAAATACCAATATGAATAGCACCTCCCTCCCTCACCTCATCTGCTACTTCTGCCCAGTCCACTCTGCATCAGCTGCACTGGCCTGGCTGATCCTGCAGTACTCTTGCTCAGGGCATTTGCACTTACTGTTCCTCTGCCTGAAAGACCAGATGTCCACTTGGCCAGTCCCTCACTGCCTTCCAATCTTTGTTCAAATGTCACTCTCTCTGTGAGGGCTCCATGACCACCCATTTTAATGTTACAGCCCATCCTATACACCATGTTCCCCTCCACAGCACTTATTTAATATGCTGTGTAATTAATTACTTTTTTGTTTTGTTATCCCATGGGGTCTTTTGACTCACTGCTGTATCCCCATTGTCTAGAAAAAGTGCTTTGCATGTAGTAGCCTCCTAATAAATACTTATTGGATGAATGAATTAATGAATGAATAACACAGTAGCTACTGAGTAAATTAAGTATTCACAGATTGTTGGGAGTTTGAGATTTTGGGGATATATAGAGAATATGCTGCCGTTTACTAACCCGTTCTGACAGTGGACCTGTGGGTGGTTCCACTTGTTTGCTATCGCAGGCATTACTCCTTGAACATTTTGATAAGTATCTTTTCTTCCGTTTTTTCCACCCTGCTATGAATGCACCTGTGTGTATGTATTATTTACAACAATGAGATTGTCACCGCCAAAATAGGGGTCCTCTACTCACCACAAAGACAAGCCAACAGTCCAGAGGCAAGGTGGTAGGAGAGAAAGGGTCTTTTATCATTACAGCTTGCTACAAGGGGAAAGATGGCGGACTAGTGTCCATAAAGAACCATCTTAAAACTACAAACTTTTGAAGCAGTTATATTTGGCAAGTGGGCTGAAAGAAGGGGGGTCTCGGAATGCGACCATCTGGTGTTGTAGTCCTTGAGATGCCAGATCATCACTTTTCCTTGTCACCAGTGACAGATACCAGCAGAGGGCTCCTTCCTGGAGGTCTCTACGTTCCTGAGAAAACTTAAAGAACAAAGTTACTGCCTTATCACAATAGGGAGTCTATATATGGTCTAAATACATATATATATATGCCAAGGTTGAGAGAGTAGTAGAGCATGCATTTTGCTCACAGCAGGTGTGGACTACGTGCAAGCTACGGCATTGCTGACTCGGAAAGGGGAGGGCCTTGTGGATTAGGGTCATTTATAGCTCCAACCTGGTTCCCTTCTACAAGATGGCTTCCCTTATGCTAATTTTTGCTAACCTGTGACTACATACCTATCATAGCCATTTAAGCAGCGCTAACAAGATCACATAGCGTGTTCTCTCTTTTTCTTTTAATAAACTACAGCCATGCTTTATTCAGATTTCCCATTTTTCCCTAATGTCCTTTTTCTGTTCTAGGATCCCATCCAGTATACGTCATGGCATTTAGTCGTCTCCTCTCTTTAGGCTTCTCTCGGTTGTGACAGTTTCTCAGGTTTTCCTTGTTTTTGATGACCCTGACAGTTTTGAGCAGTACTGGGCAGGTAGTTTGTCCCTCAGTGGGACTTGTCTGGTGTTTTCCTCATGATTAGACTGGGGTTGTGTGTTCTTGGGAGGAAGACCACAGAGGTAAAGTGCCATTCTCATCAGGTGATATCAAGGCTGCACACCATGAACATGATTTATCACTGTTGATGTTGACCTTGGTCACCTGGCTGAGGTAGCGAGGTGGTTTCTCCACTGTAAAGTTACTCTTTTTTCCCCCCTCTCCATCATGTCCTCTTTGGAGGAAAGTCACTGTGTGCAGCCCACACCTAAGGAGTGGGGGTTATGCTCCCTTCCTCAAACGCAGATCGATGTGCACAGTAATTATGTGGAATTCTTCTGCCTGGGAGATTTGTCTGTTCTCCCTCATTTACTTATTTATACTTTCAGTCATTTATTTATATCAGTATGGACTCATGGATATTTATTTTATACTTTGGGTTATAACCCAATACTGCTCTATTTTGTTACTCACATTTTTCCAGCCGTGGCCACTGGGAGCTCTTTCAGTTGGCTCCTGTGTCCCTGTAACCCACCCCTCATTGTGTGTGTCTGTGTGAGCACTTCCTTACTTTCTGGCACTACGAAATGGTCCAGGCTCATTTTTATATTTCCTGCCTCAGTCCTAGAATCAGCTGTTTCTCCAAGGAGCCCCTGTTCCTTTTATTGGAGAATGGTGTTAGAACCAAGATCTGGGTACTAGCTGTAATTGCTGCTGGGGTGTCATCGCTTCTAGGCCCTCTCAGCAGACAGAGCAAGGAAATGTACTAACCTGTGTATATACACATGTCTGTAGATATTCCTATATGTAACCATCCTCATCTATGTTAAATTAAACATAAGTTTATACTAATGTCTCTAATCTACTACCCCATGGATCATTCTAGCCTCTCCCTTGCTGATCTGTAACCTCCCACTCCAATAGTAAGAAACCTAGTTCCCACCATCTGCCGTCCATTTACTTAATTGCTTAATTCTAGGATACGTATGCAGTAGTATCAGAATTGTTAATGGGAAATATCAACTAGAATGCAGTTCCTTTTGCCTTTAATCTACAAGACTCTACTGATTTCCGAAGGTCAGCACCTTTCCCCCACCTGCTTCAGTGAGGTTTTATACATTTGTCACATAGTTGGTTTTGTCACATTCCGCATTCCATCCTGGGATCCCTCGACGTAAATGAGTTTTTAAAAATTTGCATACATTGAGGTTCACTCTCTGTGCTGTAAAGTTCTATGGGTTTGACAAATGCATAGTGTCATGTATCCACTGTTACAGTATCATACAGAGTAGTTTCACGGCCCTAAAAATCCCCTGTGCTTCACCTATTCAGCACTTCCTCTTTTCCCTGAATTTCTGGCAACCCCTGATGTCTACCATCTCTATAGTTTTGTGTTTTCCAGGATGTCATATAATTGGAATCATACAATATGTTGCCTTTCCAGACTGGCTCTTCACTTAGAGGTGTGCATTTAAGATTCACTCATGTCTTTTTGTGGCTTGATAACTCATTTGTTTTTATTGCTGAATAATATTCCATTGTATAGATATATCACAGTTTAAACATTCAACTATTGAAAGACATCTTGGTTGCTTCCTGTTTTTGACGATTGTGAATAAAGGTGCTCTAATCATGTGTATGCAGATTTCTTTGTGGAATATGTTTTCATATCAGTTGAGTAATACATAGGAGTGTGATTGCTGGATCATATAGTAAGACTATGTTTAGTTTTATAAGAGACTGCCAAACCATCTTCCACAGTGACTGTACCATTTTGCATTCCCATAGTCATGAATGAGCGTTCCTGTTGCTCTGTGTTCTCACCAACATCTGGTGTTGGCAGTCATTGGCATTTTTAGCTAGTCTAATAAATCTGGCGTGGTATCTTTTTAACTTGCAATTCCCTGATGACAAATGATGTTGGGCATATTTTCATATGCTTATTTGCCATTCTGTGTATCTTCTTTTGTGACATCTGTTCAAATGTTTTGCCTTCTTAAAAATTGTTTTCTTTGCATTATCATAACCTGTTTTTCCTCCACACTTCCGTAATCAAGACTGTACATCGAGCAAATCAGGACTGAAAAAAACTTGACATTATTTTATATTCTCTTGTATTCTATTTATTCCATTATAAAGTGTTTTATTATTTTAGTGAGTACTTAGTATTCCATAATATAGATATACTTTTTTTTTAACTTCTCTGTTGTTGTACATTAAGGGTTTCTATTTACATTTTTGACATTATTATGTGGGTAAATCTTTGTACAGATCCATGTCTGTTCCCTTAGGATGGATTCCTGGTTGGCTCCAGGCCCAGTATCTAGGTTTACGTTACCGTTAGCAGTTTATGAGGCCTTTGTCCTGTCCTGCCACTGCACATCATCATTTAAAAAGAGTAAAATATTTCTGTTTGATACATGAAAAAGTGTTTTCTCCTTGTTAGTAATCTTTGTTTGCTTTTTGTAGCAAGGTTGAACCTTTTTCCATATGGTTATTGGCTATTTTTAATACATTTAAAATAAGCTATGCAGTCCTATCCTGTTTTTCATATTGATCTGTATAACTTCTCTATACACTAAGGCTGTTCTATTACGTGTGTTGAACTTTTCTCAGTTGTTTGCCTTTTGATTGTGTTTTTTTTCTTTGTGTTTTGGGAAAGATCGTTTGGGCTTTGGTGCGGAAGTGCTGGAGACAGGAGGTGAGGCAGATGTTTTACCTTGTGGGTGAGAGATGTGAGGATGCCTACAGAATCAGTACAGTGGTGGTAGGGAGGTGATGCTGCACTCCAGAGAGATTTAAGAGTTAGGATCGATAGGGTTTTGTGAATGATTAGGGAGTTGAAGGAAGAGGGAGGGTGTCAAAGGTGGCTTTCGTGTCTGCTCTGTTTTGCTTGGTGGGTAGTGGATAAGGAGCTATGAGGGAGCAGATTTGGGGGTTAGGGTATGGATGTTCAACCTCAGTTTTATGTCTGTTAGTTTTCAGGACATCTAGGTGGAGCTGTTTAAAGGCAGTGAGATAACCGGATCTGGAGGTCAGGGCAGGAGCCTGGACTGGAGAAATGTTCTGTATTCCCTTCGTCCCTGTCTCCCCTAGCCCCCCTCCTCCCTGCCTTTCTTCCATCCTTCCAATTTTTATTGAACATAGTAAGAATATTCTGTTCCAGACCCTGAGGATTTGGCAGTGAACAAAACAGATAATCTGCCTGCCATTATGAGCTTATTTTGGGATAGGGCATGGAGACTGGTAACTAAACAAATAAATTGGTAATGAAGATGTAAAATGTTGGCATTTTTATCACCGAGGTCCTTCTTGGCATTTTTACCTAATAGTTGCTAATGCCTGCAGTAACTAGAATACTCACATTGTACTATTGTGTGATGTGTTTTTCAGGGAGGAATTCATACAAGCGTACAGTGCAAGCAGCAGTATGGCCCTTTGGCATACATACTTGGTGATCGAACAACCAAGAAACTGACAGAATACAGCAAAGTGATAACTGTAGATGGCAACATATGTTCTGGAAAAGGCAAGCTTGCAAAACAAATAGCAGAGAAACTAGGTATGAACTTATGTCATGCAGAATGACCACTTTTTTTCAGACTTGTGGTTACTTATCTCGGTTTGATTCTACTTTAATATTGACTCAGTAGAACTGGACCCAAGGTAGGTATTTTACATATTTGAAATATTTATTGAAAAAGCTGTTTTCAGTCTTTCAGGCTTTATGTTGACGATGTAGGCAGAGCACTTTCATGTGAACTATCTAACTTGAACTTTGTAGGAGCCCCTGGAATAGGGCTGTTGTTACTGCTGGCATTTACGGACGGGTAGACTCGGTAAGAAGCCGATGTCCATAGCTAGTTAGTGCAGAGCTGGGATGGGAACCCCACGTCCTGACTCTCGGTCCAGGTGTTTGTTCGCTGTACCTTTCTGCAGATTTTGACAAGCAGTTGCCCACTTGCACGCAGGGGTTCCCATAGTTATGGGTGGCTCTCTTTTTCAGGAGGAATTCATATGAGGGTACAGTGGGACATGCTGCAGCACAGCCCTTCAGCATACATGCTTGTCTTACACACGTTTTAGACATGTCGTCTCCAGTGTCGTATGTGCTCCCCTTTACACACGATGAGACATAAGTGTGAGGGTAACCTTCCCCAGGCCTTAACCAACCAGCCTCAGCAGTGGTGTTCAGATGGGGCTTTTGTTTCTCTTAGTCCACACTGCTCGCTGACAGGAAGGGAGGCATCCACATCGTGTTTTATCCGGTTATGTCTCTTCTCAGGTTTAAAGCACTTTCCTGAAGCAGGGATACATTACGCAGACAGCACTACAGGAGATGGAAAACCCCTGGACGTGGAGTTCAGTGGCAACTGCAGTTTGGAGAAGTTTTATGATGATCCGAAAAGCAATGATGGCAACAGTTACCGCCTGCAGTCCTGGTTGTACGCCAGTCGCCTCCTGCAGTACGCGGACGCCTTGGAGCACTTGCTGAGCACAGGTCAGTCACCATGGTCAGGTAGCTGCTGGTCGTGTTCTGCACTTGAACCCTGTGCTGGAATTCAGTCATGTTAGTTTGCCACTAAGTAGACCTTTTCTTTAAGGGTATTTGATGAGGCAAGTGCTGGCTTTCTAATAAGATCATAAAATCTGCAAGATCCATATTATTGTTGCTTCAGAATAATATCCACTAAATATTATTTCATTTTGTGTATTGGAGTGAGATTTATGGATTGTATGGAATTTTCGTGCCACTGCTCTAAACGTGTAGATGAAATGTGTCAAAAAATGGAGGAAAGAGAGAACCTGTAAATGACTAGGAGGAAGTGGAATCACACTCATGAAGTGGGAGCCCTGAGTCATACAGAGAGGTGGATGCACAAAACAGGGTTATCTCTGAGGGCCCAGAGATGGGCTAGAATTTGCCATCAACCCACAGGGTAGAAGTTAAACCTTGAGAAATGGCAGAGGTGGGGAAGGCAGAACACCCAGGGTCCCGTGCGCCTGTACAGTAAAGGGGGACGTGTCCATGGAAGGTATCCGAAGCAGGCAAGCAATGGACAAGGGCTGCATATGGGAGCATTCAAGGTCCAGAGTCTGGGAGATAGGCAACGGGGGTCAGGACATGAAGTCAGGAAATGGAGGGAGGGAGGACAGATGGGGCAGGAGCCTGGGTTTACACAGAGTACAGACGAGGTTGGAATCCCAGAGGGGCTGCTTCATCATCCTGGGAACAAGCAGTGTGGGTTCAATCTGGGCCTGACCCCAGAACATTCTGAGAATCAGCAGATAACTGCCAGTGCTTGGCCAAAGCCACCAACCTATGGGGATTTTGACTTAAAGGGTAGAAGCATATGGCACGTGTGAGCGTGAGGGAGAGTGGGGGATTTGTACGAGCCGCATTGTAGAGTAGTGGTTGCCACACCTGCCTGCCTGTCAGGTACCTGGTGAGCTCAGCTGCCACCTGGAGGGTCTGCTGCATGGGGTCTGAGTGTGAGAATGAGAACGTAGTTTTCATGAGGACCCCAGGTAACTGATGGAGCTGGGGCACAAAGCTGCCTCGTGTTCCAGGAGGGTCCTGTCTGTATAAGATGTGCCACAAGATGCAAGGTACTGCTCTTTGTCTAAACGGCCACAGATGTCTGGTTATTGTCTTGCTTTTCCAACATTCTATTGGTGATGCTTTTCCTTATGTGAAGGTAAGTCCTGATATGGTGAGCGTTGCTCCTAAGAAGACGTGGTCTACGTTCTGAAGTTCTGTACCAGGACCCAGCTCACAGGAACCAGTTAGTAGGTTGGAGTTAATACTGACACTGGGCTTACTCCACATTCTTTTTGAAGTATACTTCAGCCCTATCTTAGGACTCCTTGTTTCTTAAAATTTTAAATGAAAACTTGTTTCCTTTTGTATTACATTAGTTTATTCATTAAATATTTAGTGCGTGGCTGCTGTGTGCCAGGGGCATTCCAGGAACTAGAGATTCTGCAGGAAGTGAAGCCCAGTGTCCTCCTGGAGCTTACATTTTAGTAGCGGAGAGAAAGAGCAACCTGCCACGTCAGGTAGTGTGTGGTAAGAGCTGAGAAGAAGGGGTTTGGGTGGGGCTGGGGGCTGTTCTTCTTGATGGGAATGTTAGGGGAGGCCGCTGCCCAGGCACAGCAGGGCTGAGTGCAGGCAGACAGGCAGGGAGTCCCTGGGGACCAGTGCTCTGAGCTGAGGGAGCATTCTCCATGTGCTGTAGTGACAGTCAGCAGGCCTCTGTGACTGGAGTGCAGTGAGTGAGGCTGGGAGGATTGGGACGAAGCCAGAGAAGTAGCCTGGGCGAGATGGTCGAGTCTCAGTCAGACCTCAAGGGCCACGCTGGGACTTTGGTTTTTACCTTGAAGGAGAGAGGTTGGAGCAGAGGAGTAACAGGAGCTGGCTTAAGCTTTGAAAATGCCCCTCTGCTGAGGGTGAGAGCAGCCTCGGGGGCAAGGGCAGAGGCAGGGGGTGAGTTGACGGCCATGGCCTTGTCAGAAGTGAGGAGACCTTACGCTGCGAAGGAAGTGGCACATTCTGGAATGGTGGGATTCGAGACGTGGTTGGGAGAAAGCTGTGCTTTGCTGATGCTTGGGCTGTGGGGTAAGATGGGAGTTGAGGGTGACCCTGGGGTCTTACTGAATGATTGAGTGGGCATGGTAGGGTGGGAAGCCTCTGGTTTAAAAACAGAAATGCTTTTTCTGCTAACTGGATGCTCTTGTTACAGCTGACAGAAAGAAACAGGATGTTATGTTGCCTAAACCAAAATAGTATTACAGTTTCTGAAAACCATTTCCCACTCACAAGTCGTATATGTTCTTTTGAATATGTTTCAAATGGCTATGGAAATGGAATTGTAAATAACTGCTTTTTCCCTTTCTAAAATGAAGTTACTAGTTTCCAGTGCTTTAATTATCTGTCTGATTTTTAATTTTCATTTCCATGTTTTTAAACAGGACAAGGTGTCGTATTGGAACGCTCCATCTACAGTGACTTTGTCTTCGTGGAGGCGATGTATAACCAGGGATTCATCCGAAAGCAGTGTGAGTCATTGTTGCAGGCGAGCCCTCCTGGGTGTGTGGGTAGCTTTGTAAAGGCTCCAGTAGACTCGCCTTGCAGTTAGTATGCGTTTTATGAATGTCTGTTAAATAGATGAGTCAGTGCCATTTACTTATGAAGTTTCCACAGGAAAAAACTGGTTCCTTCCACCTCTTTCCCTCCTACATTCACATCTCGCTGTGAAAGCTGCGTGGTGTCCTGGGTCCTTGAACACACAGCTTCCACACAGCCTTCCCCAGCTCTCTGTTCAACCTCGTGAGATACCTAAGCTGCTTTTCTTTGATCTTAAATTTAGTCTTACTGAGCTCTCCAATTTCTAGGGTGTCATATTTATGTAATTAGGCTGTCTTTTTCCCTTGTCCCTGTAGCTGCACGATGCCAGCACTCTCGTCGTCTCTTCCTTCTCTCTAACACAGTGCTGTTCTAGGGCCTTTAGGGGCTTAGCATTGTATTGGGATATTGTTGAAAGTGACAAGGGGCAAAGGGACGAGAATAAAGACCTCCTGGTTAAAGGTAGCCTGACCATGAGGAGTGATGGGTGGCCAGGGTGTCTGTGACTGGGAGGTGCTGGGGCGGGCCATGGAAAGGCCTATGGTCAGTCTGCCTGTGAGCATTCTCACGGGTGTGCTTGGCTGACTGGAGCCAGTGGATGGCTCAGATCTGGAGGGCAGAGTAAAAGTTGTTGGTTAATGAGCGGGGAGACGAGAGCAAGCCAAGTGGTGATTCGGGGGTGAGGCTGTCTGCTCTTAGTCTGCTTACATGTCCTGCTGTTTGGAGTAGGCCACCTGTGTGCTTGTAGCAAGAGCAGCCAGAGCCCTTGCTTCTGACCAAGGCATTGAGCCTTGCTTGGCATTTGGAGTAGCAGTTGAGGTCAGTCAACCAGCGCTTCTATAGTGCCAGCTGTGTGCCAGGCTCTGTCTTAGATGCCAAGGATATGAAGATATATAAGACAAGGAAGGCTCCCGCAGTCCTGGGGTGAAGGGTAGGGCGTTAAAGCAGCATAGATGGTTAATTGCAATAAAATGCACTTGATGGCTCCTCCTGGGTGACTGTCCTCCTGGGTGCTGCGTAAGCACACAGGAGAATATCTAACCAGCTGGGAGAAGATGGGGTGTTGTCAGGGACAGCGTCCTTGAGGAGTGAGCCCTGGGCAAGCCATCAGCATTGCAGCGGGATGAGCGAGGTGAAGTGAGGCTGGAGGAGCCTGCGTTGGCACGGGCTGCTGGTGTTGGTGTGGAGTGAGGGCCGGGTGCTGGCCGGGGATGGTGCAGGGGAAGCAGGTGGGGCCACACAAGGAAGGGGCTTGCACCTTGGCTAGGACACTTGGATTTTTCCTGTAAGTGCTGAGGAGCCATGGAAGGGTTTTAGGCATGGGAGGGATATGGTTAGATTTGAGTTCATTTGTCTGAAGGATGTGTTCAGTGAGGGGAAGTCAAAGCAAAGGAGACCGTTGGGAGGAAGTCGGAGTAGGATGGCTGTACCGTAGGATGAAGGCCTGCACTGGGCAGAGGGAGTGGCTTGCTGGGGAGGGTGGATCTCAGATATGGAGGAAGTTCACTTGGCAAGCCTGGGTGGTCAGCTTTGTGGGAGCAAAGTGGGGAGAGTAAAGTGGACCTGACTGGGCTTCTCACCAAGTGAGGAGGATACAAAGGAGCAGTAGTCTGAGAAGGAGCTTTCACGTCTGGGCGTGTGGAGTTTGAGATTTCCCGGAGATAGCCAGTGGAGAGGTCTAGCAGGTGGTTGCATATCTGAGCCTAACATACTGAGGACTGGTCTGGACTGGAGAAAAGTTTTGGGGGAATCAGCCTGACAGTGGACACACTTGTCCCAGAAAAACCCACAGGGGGAGGTGAGGACTGAGACCAGAGTCCTTGGAGGATTCCAGGTTTCTGGAGAGGGGGCCCTACTGCAGATTTGAAGCTGAATGGTCAGAGGTGCACAAGGGGCCAGCGAGGGTGGTAGGGGACATTCATCACATGGAGTGTGTAGGATCTAGTGGGACAAGAACTGAGAAGTGACCTTTAGGGGTCTGGTGGCTTTAGCAAGAGTCGTTTCATTCCACAGTTTGGGTTGGGGGGAGAACAGATTACTTAAGGGTAGATGGCATACAACAAAGTGAAAAATCGCCTCAGAAGTGGGGCTGCTAACAAGAATGTGGAGAGAAATGATGACTTAGAGGAGGAGGCAGAAGGGAGGTTTCCCTGATGGTGGGAGACACTGGCCTGGTCCTAGGCTGAACAGAAAGGAAGCAAATACAAGGCCGAGCGTATTCTGCTTGGACCGGTGAACAGTATCCACAGTCAAGCCTCAGTCTTTGCTTTGGTTCCACCTCCTTTGTAGTCTTTTAGCCTCCAGCTCAGACCCCTGCTGACCTGGGATCAAAAGCCGGTCCTGAATTGCCTCTAAAGCAGGAGTTACCAGGAGTGGTCACCTGAACATTTTCTTTAGAGCACAATAGTGGTCTTTCTGTGGATCTTAGTGTGATCGCCCAAGTTTGTCCCTTCTGGAAGTTTCCACCATGGAGGAAATCTTTAGAGACGATAGTTTCTTCACATTGTTCTTTTGATGGTTTCATCCCAGTGACCTGGAGCGTGTTCTGCCTGTTGGTTTCTGGTAACATGGGCGTGTGCTCCAGGACATCAGTTGCAGAGCATTCTTCAAAACAGCAGGAATGTTCTTTAGCATCACAATTTTTGTGTGATTGCTATCTGTATAGTATATTCTATGTAATGTCAACTTCAGTAGAATTATTTCTCAGCTTTAGCTGCTTTCAGTTTTATTTTTTATTAGTAAATCTGCTTCAATAGGTAGTTCTGTGTAGCTGATTAAATTTACTGAAATACATTGAACCCAGGTAAATGTAGCTTGACATTTTTCAGTTGAGTTATTTGAAAAATAAAGTATATAAAAAGTGATTTTACTCCCTAGAGAAGATCAGACTCTTACCTATTATTACTATGAAGAAATATACATACACATAATGATGTGTTTCAGTTCAAAGGACGCTAAAACAAATGCTTGGGTGCCCTCCCTCTTGTAGGAAGTAAAGGTAGACCCTACCATGTGGCCAAGATGCACTTAAAATGTGTCCTTTAGAATGCTGTTTTTTTTTTTTGGTGAGGAATATTAGCCCTGAGCTAACATGTCGCCAGTCCTCCTCTTTTTGCTGAGGAAGATTGGCCCTGGACTAACATCCATGCCCATCTTCCTCTACTTTATATGGGATGCTGCCACAGCATGGCTTGCCAAGCGGTGCGTTGGTGCGTGCCCAGGATCTGAACCTGTGAACCCTAGGCTGCTGATGCGGAGTGTGCACACTTAACTGCTGCGCCACTGGGCCGGCCCCTAGAATGCTCTTGAAGCTAGGGTTTAAGTCCAGTATTTCACTTTACATCGCAGAATTTCTCTGGGCCTGATGCTTTTGGTCTATAGAAATGGGGATGAGAAGCACTGTCTTGCTGCGTTGCTGTCAGTGCTGCAGGCTCTGTGTGTGAATGCCCCAGTGCCTGCCATGCGATCACACATTGTGTGCAGCCGTGGTCACGGCCATGATTGTTACGTGATCCACAGGTGGATATGTGGCTCTGAGAACTGCGTGTGCCCTTGCCCTTCTGTCTGAGAGAGGAGCATGTTTTAGAACCTGTATGTGGACTGTCAGATGACATGCACCTCTCCGTGTGTGCCAGGTGTGGACCACTACAACGAGGTGAAGAAGGTCACCATCTGCGAGTACCTGCCTCCTCACGTGGTGATCTACGTCGACGTGCCCGTCCCCGAGATCCAGAGTCGGATCCAGAAGAGAGGAAATGTAATTCAGCTTTTCTGTCGAAGACCTGTCTTCTTTTTATGTGTCCTCATTGTTTTAATGTAGATCAGCACTCAAAAGTGATGTGTACAGTAGGGTACCATAAATCACTGACAGTGCTCACGGGGATGGGGGCACACCCCGGGGTCTTCTGAAAGAGCGGGCACCTGGTCAGTCACTGCTCTCCACCAGTGCTCTCCAATCCCTGTGCCATTCTGCTCCTGTCCCCTGTCCTACATCACTTAAACCATTCTTGTGAAGATGGATAAGTCTCCCAACAGAACCTCCCTCTGCCAAGCGCCTTTCTCTTTAATGGGGTTTTCATGCCCTGTTATTTTTCTACAAATTGGAAGCAATTTCTAATATTCTTTGAGTTCCCTACTCTATTTTTTTAGCTCAACTTGTGCCTCTTTTCCTTTTTTTCCTACTTAACTGATTCTAGAACAGTCGCCCACTGGCTCCACCCGTGTCCATTTACTTTTTGTGGCGTTGGTTGAGACCGACATAGGTGGCCTGGAAGCTCTCGTTTTGAAGTTTCCCACTGGCTCTTCAATGTGGTGCAGGATACAGAGATTAGCAAAGACCGTCTGTGCCCTTATGACTAGCACTTGTTTGGAAATATCACTCCCACAGAGTATTTTTTTCCTGGGGGAGAATGAGAGTTCTTTTTGACATTGTAATGAAATGTCAAGTTGCCTGTGTGTTTGTTGTTCCAGTGCCCATCCTCAGGGCTGGAGTTCTGGTGGATGCTCAGAAAATACCTGGTGAGGGGCCGGCCCGGTGGCACAAGCGGTTAAGTGGGCGCGCTCCGCTGCGGTGGCCCGGGGTTCGCCGGTTCGGATCCCAGGCGCTCACCGGCGCACCGCTTGGCAAGCCATGCTGTGGCGGCGTCGCATATAAAGTGGAGGAAGATG